TATTTTCATTTGCTGCTAACTGCCTTGTTTTCATTTGTAGTTTTTGTAGTAGGAAGAACTACAAAATCTACAAATAAAAGTGCAGTTAACAAATGTAGTGCTCTCCACTATGTGAACCCCTCACCTGAATTTTTAGGTTTTTCAGTTCAAGCCAATTAAATGAAATCTAAAAATTCAGCCCCAACAATCAAATGATCCCCTATGAGCAAGCACTCTGGCAACGGAGGAGAGGAAAAACTCCCTTTTAACAGGAAGAAACCTCAGGCAGAACCAGGCTCAGGGAGGGGTGGTCTTCTGCCATGACTGGTTGGGGGTGAGGGGCAAAATAAAATCAAACAAAGGAGAGCACAGCGTATTTATAAGAAAGTTTTATAAAAATTTTATAAGATCAAATTATTATCGGGGTGCACATAAGTGGTCCGCAGGTGCACATGCGATCTTGAGGAGATCTAAACAAACTCCTCCTCCAGAAAATCTTATGTACGCAAACACGCATTGCAAATTCTTATCTGGTGCGCGTCTTTTATTTTGACAGCGCATGCAGACCACTTATGTGCACCCCTGATAATAATCATGACCCCCACAGAGCAGGACATTCACTCAGCCAAAGAGGTTTGAGATGGCCCAGCAAGCTGCAGGAACAACAATGGCCACTGTGGCAACACCCAAGCCTACTTTACACCACCAAGTATGGGTCTCCACAGTTTCCTTGAGTTCTGCATTGTCTTTTCTAAGCTGTGCGTTCTCCTGCATGAGTTTATCTGCCTTACTTTGGACCTCGCACACCTCAGCACGAAGGCTCCTTATCGCCTTAAGGTGACCCTCTTCCTTTATCTGAGCGTTTGTAATAAACGTCTGCATTGTACCACTCAGTCTGTTAAAATGGTTATCAATGTTTGGTACAGAGCGTAAATTATTTAACCTTTCCTCTGCCATTTTTATTTTTTTTTTTAAATTGACTGCACAGTGTATTAGCTTTTTGAAAGGTTCCTGGTTTCTGAAAATGCTCCAAAGTAAACTGTGTTAAACGAGCTCTTATTTATAGACTATGGACACTGTGACGTGATATTCTTTGCCACTATAGTGGCAAAGAATGACGTCACAGTGATCGTTTGAGAAGATCAAAGGAGCGCTGTGGATCATTCTGCGCATGCTCAGAATGAGTCACATTCTGAGCATGCGCGGTCACTGTGACGTCATATTCGGCCACTATAGTGGCAAAGAATATGACTGAATATATGACAAAGAATATATGATCATTCTGCGCATGCTCAGATCATGCGAATTTCCTGTTGTCTATCACATATGGGCTGTATCCCAATTCAGGGTCTGCAGCCTTAAAGTCCTCAAGGGCCGCGTACTCAAAGACCGCTAAGGCCGGAAGTGCGAGGCTTGTGAAATGGCAACCCGTTCTCACTCCCGACACGTAAAATAATGATGATTTGTCACGTCCCTTAACTTCTCATGCTGACGCTAAAGGTATCCTTCCACGTTTTTATGTGACGCTGTGGGTTGTCAATTCATTCCAATATGAACCCGCTCGCGGCGATCAGAGACGCTTCGAGCAGAGGCTCCAGCCATCCATTTACTCCAATAATAACCCCGTCACGGCGAAACATGACGCCGTGAAGCACAATCTAACTGGAGAACCGGGGACCCTCTCCGCGAACGGGTTTTTCTCCCTAATTTAATGCTTTCTTTTAATGACATCGTTAACATTTCTCAACAAAAACACGTGAAAGTATCACTGATAATTCAACAATAAAATCGCTTCATGTTGTGGCCATCACACAGTGTTTTCCAAACTGATTCACGATCTGAAAGTGCGCAGATTTAACGTACATAATCCTTTGTTAGGTTTATTATTTTCATTTCACACGTAAAACACATTTATAGATTCATTCACCACTCCTGTTAGTTTTGGATGCGCTCGGCTCACTGTGTCAAGCCAGCCTCCAATTCGAGACTTGCAGTCAAGCCAGCCTCCAGTTTGTTTTACGTTCCCTGTGTATTCAAAGTATTACGGGAATGGATGTGGAAACCGGATTTCAAAATAAAAGCCAACTTCGAGTGAATTAACAGATATGTTAAGAACATAATAACATATAATTTAGGCTTTTTTTTATTTTTTTTTTTACAAACTCTAATGTTAGATCTATATGACACAGCCTTGTACCCTAATTGTGCCCTGTCACTATCAAGGCCATCTTATTTTGGATTTCAAAGTAAAAGCCCTGTGAATCTTCATTTTTGAACTACTCTTTCAATGACTTAATAATGCTCTTAAAAGCAAAAGTCGTATTTCCAAATACTATTTGAACTTTATATCAACACTTTCCAACCACAGTCTTTTTCACAGTGATACCATATCAATATCAAGTCAGTCTGATTTTGCCTTTCATAGTAATGGCCCTTTGAAATTGCCGATATTTGACTTAATCTTCTAACGATTCAAAATGCTCTAAAATGAAAAATTCTTGTTTCCACAGGGTAATTCCACTTTAGATCAACAGTATACAGACCCCACAGTGATACCATATCAATATCAAGTCATTCTGATTTTGCTTTCAAAAATAAAAGCCTTTTCAAATTGTCCATAATTGACCTACCTTTCAGTGATTTCAAAATGCTCTAAAATGGAAAATTCCTGTTTCCACAGGGTAATTCTACCTTAGATCAACAGTATACAGCCCCACAGTGATACCATATCAATATCAAGTCATTCTGATTATGCCTTCAAATAAAAGCCTTTTCAAATTGTCCATAATTGACCTAACTTTCAGTGATTTCAAAATGCTCTAAAATGGAAAATTCCTGTTTCCACAGGATAATTTCACTCTGTATTTACAGTATAAAGCCCCACAGTGATACCATGTCAATATCAAGTCAGTCTGATTTTACTTTCCAAAGTAATGGCCCATTGAAATTGCCCATATATGACTGACTTTTGTAACGATTTTGAAATGCTCTAAATAGAAAAAAATCCTGTTATCCGCATATTGTAGCATCATCCATAACTGTGTCCCAATTCAGGGGCTGCATTATGGGTAGTAGTAGTAGCAGCTAGGCTAGTCCGTTTCTATGGTAACGTGCAATGTAAAGTTTCGTCGTCACTTTCTTTCTATTAAATATCTCTGGTAACGTTTAATATTGCTGATATCGCAGTAAGATACTCGAACCTTTTTTCCGTGACGGTTTGGGAGTGTGTTTAAAATAGGACATTAGGGTGACAATAAACAAATTGTGGTTTAACTGAGCACAATTACTTCGTTTAGATATTAGGCTTTAGCTAACTTTTGGCTAGTTTAGCTATAGCTAGCTAGTTAGCAAGCATAATTTCTGAAAATGGTAGTATTATAAGGTTCACCTAACTGAACAAATATGGGAAATAAGATATGATGTTCTCGTAATTTGGAGCTATCCAGACACTAATGACATTTGCCAGTGTTTTTGTTAAACACTTCAATTAAACATTGACATGGATAAGACTAAGATTTGCAGCAACCGGCGCAATAGTAAGTGTAATTTCCGTTTACTCCTCAGGCTCTTTCATGTATTTGTGGAAGGACAAATGTATCCCTGACTGGCTATATTACATTCTTCCGTTTTCAGCTATTAAGACAGATCTCAGTTTGCTGCTGGAGTGTCTCAAGTTTCAGATGAAATGCCCCGATTTACAGAAACAAGCCCTTCTCACTATTCATTCAATCTGCGAAAAGAGAGGTAATAATGAACAGTCAATGACATAAACGTACTTTCAACTTGAACTGAACCCGAACACATCTGTCATATGAATACATGTATTTAGTGAGATATTTATATAGCATAAGGTCTTGACATGGTAACTGATGACTGTCTCACTTTAAATTGGGAATATTTCAGAGGATAATGTGGACCTGCTAAGAGAAATGGGAGGTGTGGCATTTGTGTATAACCTCTCCAAATCCAGCATTGTTCATCCAGATGTTAAGGAGACTGCTCTCTTTACACTTGGCACACTGGCAGAGGCCAACGGTAGGCACGTCTGATATTTGTCCAATCTAAGTTTAGGGAGGGTTATTATTATTTTTTTTTTTTAAGGATGCAGTTTCTGGAATCTTCCGATAATTACGTAACATCCTCACGATGGGACGATCAAGCATCGGAAGGAAGAAATACCTTCCTCCCCCCCCCAGAAATTAAAGGCAGCTCTGTGGTCCTTAATTGATATCCAACTTGTGCTTTATGTGTGTAATATGTGTTTGTGTGATATGTGGTATTTATTAAGTGTAAATTGTTTTAAAATAAATTGTAGTTTTAAATTTTAACAACATCTAATTTGTCTTTCATTTTGTTAGTCTACTGCAAGAATTCTCTGTGCAAAAATGAGATATTTGCAGACCTTGCTGATTGTCTAATGAAAGAGGACATCCCGCTGAAACAGAAGCGACTCTCTGTTTATTTGCTGCTTGTGCTGGTAGCCAACAACAGTAAGATCAAATTCTAAAAAGACAGAATAAGTTTAAGCTACAGGACTGGATCACACATTTATCTGCATGTTTATCAGTCACTTTACTCTATATGGTCTGGTTTATTTGGAAGCTCATTAAATTTATTCCATATAACTAGAGCAAAATATAGCATGAATCTTTTTTTTTTTTTTTTAGTTCTGAGAGCATGATAATGTTTGCAACCTTTGTCTGACTTTGTTTTATTGTAGAATTAGGACAGACTTTGGCTCAGACCAGTGGCTGCCTGGACGTTCTACTGAATCTCTTCAGGTATTTCTCATTGCTGAAATCTCTTTTGACCAAAGATAATTTTTAATCACACCACTCGTAGTTACAAAGAAAGGAAAACAACATCAATAAAAACACTCATTTGAGTCCATGTAAGGTAAATGGTATATATTTTGCAGGGCCACTTTCCCCATCTCCACAGAAGCCACTTTCCGAGCAGCTAATGCTACTCAAACTTACCAGCTTTGGACGTCTGTGTCTAGTGCTCTTTGTGGATGTGTAAACAACCCTCAGAATGGTAACATGAGATTTGTATTTTTCTGTCTTGTTCAGATAAGGTGAAATGTAAAATACAGATTTTCTTGCTATAGTGGCAACAATTTTCAGTACTCAATTAAATGTTTTTTTTTTGGGGTAAGCACAAAAGCTGTTTTTTTTGCTCTGTTATTTCTTTCTTTTGTATTGCAGAGGAGGGTCAGCGTATTTGTGTGGCAGCGTTTCCTGTGATTAAAATCTGGCTTCAGCAGCTTACTTTTCCACAGACTGAAATTTTTCAGCCAATATGCACATTCATAGCAATGACAGTGGCCAACAACTGTAAGTGCTGAAACTATGTTTTTGTTTTTTTGAAATGTAAAACATCTTAGTTGATCCTGAAATGCAAATGATTAAATGTTCTTCACTTCTTTCTTTTGGCAGCCTGTGTTCAGGAGAGTTTTTCTGCCTGTGGGGGATTAGAAACTCTCGCTCTTACCCTGGGTCGTCTAGCTTCTGCTGCAGATACGAGCTTATTGTCTTGCCAGCTTTCTGTCATTATATCCAAGACTCTGTCAGCTTGCATCACTGATAACTGTGCGAACTGCTCACGAACACATACACATACACCCTAAATCCACAACTGAATAACCAAAGTATTTCCTTCTTTATTTACAATCTCTTCTTTGTAGCTTCTCTGGCTTCAGGTCTGGCGCAGTATGGCGTGGTCTTACACCTTTTCTCTTTGCTGGCTAGTCCACACTTGGACCCAGAAGACAGGCTTCCTATTTTGCTAAGCCTTGGTTACTGCACTGAGGCCTCTGGTGCGACTGCACTATTTTTTTTTTTCTGCTTAAAATATATATTCCAATTTATATCATAACTATGATATCTTGCATAATGCACATATTGAGAGCACAGTGTTCCTTTTTTAAAGATCATAACACACTGTCCATGCATTTCACAATTGCACTGTGCTTATTTGGTTCTACAGAAAAGCACCAGTCCCAGCTGATATGGTGTGGAGGGCTCCCCATTATCATAACTTTACTCACAGAGGATTCAAGTGAGGAGGTTAGGAGGGCTGCTACATTCATATTGCAAACTTGCAAAAAGGCCAGTAAGTCAAAGCAGTTTTATTTTCCAATAATTCTGTATTCCTATGTATTTTCACATGTCACAGTCACTTTGATATTTCTGTTTAGCTTTTAAGTTACTGTGTATCACAGCAGTCTATCTTATATACATTTTATTTGCATTATTTGCCTCTGTCTTACATTTAAGATAACTGGCATGTATATAGTATGCAAAACATAAGAATCTGCTTTCATAATGATCTGCAGTATTTGCCTTTTCTATAAAGCTATGTGCTCAGGAGTGGGTGATCCGATAGCAAAACAGGCTGAAAATGTGGAAGCCCCTAAACACATTGAGGAGATCAGGAGTTCAGCCAGAGAAATGCTACACAGGATTAACCTGCTAGAGAAGAGAAGGGTGAAAGTTAAACATGCATCAGACACATGTATTTGCCAAGTCTGACCAGATCATATCATGGTGACTCATGATGTGTACTTATGTTGATCTTCAGGATGTCGAGGGTAAGCAGGAAGACGCAGTTCTACCAAATTCACATGAGGGGCGAGACCAAATATCTCTACCAGCTTTAAATCTGCCACTGCACATACCACAAAATGAGGGTGTTGAAACTGTCCCCAGAAACATAACTGAGAGGGGGAATAATGGTGAAAACAAGGAATTGACCTCTGGGTTAAGTTCTCACAAAGAAACCAGTGAAGGTGACGTCAGGTGTTCAATGTGCAAAGGTACTGGAGCGCTCATGTCTTCTCATATCCTGCCACTAGAGGGAGCCAGTAAGCAACTTGAGGCAAACAGGTTAGTGGAGTGGCTCTGCGTCTGTTATTTATCAGAAAAAAAATGAGGGTGAATGATAAGATTTTTTTTTTTTTTTGTCAGCGGTTTAAGCCAATATTTCCAGTGAGGTACACAAAACCAAGCGATATTAAGTGTATTGAAGGTAAGAGACACATTATTGCTTTTTCACTTCCAGGCACTAGAATTACAGTATTTAGCTATATGCTCAGACTGCCTTTACTTCCTCACCTGGTTCCCCCAGTTAACTCACCTGTTTGCACTCTACAAATCACTCCCTCAATATATACACATATCTTCCCAACATTTAATCTCTAGATTGTGTGTTGTCTGATACCTGAGCTTACTGGCATTCTTTTACTCAGTTAATCCCTGTGAATGTTTTTTTAACGTGTTCCTGGTGTTTGGATTTTGCCTTTTTATGCAATCTGCACAAGTCTCTGCCTGACCTTTTTTGTATCAGACTGATTTGTGTGTATGGGTGTGTGTTTGCTTGCCTCCTGTGTCTTACACTTGGATTTTCAATGAAAAGGACTTTGACATTTTCAGTAAGTGTATAGTATGTGATGTTTTCCTAAATGTGTTTTATGTTTAGAGTTACAGCATACTGATATGAAGAACGTGATCAAAGCCCCAGTCCCTTATAGTCGTTGTGTAGGTAAGAAATAGCACAGAAATCCTATTAATTTTGTATTATTAAAGGCAGAGTTTAAACAAGGACAGTGTTCGACAGCCTTTACTTCTCTATATCTTTGCAAACACGAGTGTCTCTCTTAATAAGCCTAATTTCAAAATAGTTATGACGTGTTAAAGTAGGACCATACATTTAAAGTTCTGGTTAAATGTACAGGTAGGCCTCAGTCAAACAGGCATAGACACCGGTATGGGACCCACTGGCATCACTAGTGTGAAATTTGTCGCAAAGAAGTATACACACTTTTCCCAATGGCCCATCTGTAGACCTGCGAGAAAGAAGAGATTTATTTCACAGCCTCCACTTGCTCCTGATGGTCACCAAATGGTCACTAGGCATGTGTGACTGGGGCCTAAAAAGTACATTTGTTTCTTGCTTCTGGTATATATGTCCAGGTTATCCTGGGGACTGCATCATAAAGCAGCTCGATCCCTTCAAAAACTGCAACGAAGGAGTAACTGGAAAGGCAACTGTACTGAAGAGCTCAGTCACTCTTTGTGGGCTGTGACATTCAGTTACATTTTTGGGGAGGTTGACATGAGGTTATAGTGTAGGTTATGGTGTGGAGTTTGGGAAGTATTTGTGGTTATGACATAAACATGGTTTACAGAAGGAGTTAAACAGAAGTATAAATCCCATGTCCTTCTTTCTCCACATAGCCTGTGTGTTACCTTTTGAGGAAGTGACCAGTCACACTTTTGAGTCTCTCCAAAGCTCTTGCCACCAAAGCTGTGACAGGCACAAGGTTCTCAGAGAGGCCACCAAGCACTTCAGAATGCATCACTGCAGGCTCGTGTTTGAGAAGGAGCACCAGGATCCCGCTGAGGCTGAGAGATATTCAACAGCAGAGCCACAACAAACCTGCAAAAACTGGACTGGTAAGAAGATTCTCCATATGCAAACACTAATAGTTCCTGTAGGTCCTAGGTTTGCATTTTTTTTTTTTTTATTAAAAAATACTAAAAAAAATACTAATTATTGTTAGTTTCCTTTAAAGGCCTTGCTGCTAATGGATAGACAGAGTTTTCAACATGTTTGGTTCAGAAGGTGATGCACTACCTGCTTTATCACTCAATTAGCATCAAAGTTCAGCAGAAAAATTATTTTCCTCAGTGACCACAAAGGGTGCAATTGTTTGCACTTTGATAGGCGTTTGTCATTGGGTAATCTGCTCTCTGTAAATCACACACTGATATTCTTTGTCTCTTAGACAGGGTCAAATTAGTGGCAACATATGTGATTTCAGCTAACCACATTTAATGGTTGAGTAATGCCCACATAATCTCTGAAGTTTTCTTATTCATTTCTTGCATTGGTAGTCTTGCAGTGTCTTGCAGGCACTCTTCACTGTTAGTGTGAGAGAAGAACTGAAATGCATGGGTGGAGCTTTACTTTACTTTTGAACAGTATTTTATTGTCATTGTGTGAAAGTTTTTCTTTTTAATCCCTTTGTATCATATTTGATACATGAGTTTCTGACACCTTTATCTCATCAACATGATCAATACTTGTTGATCAGTACTTATGGACAAAACTATTTTCTTTGTCTAAAATTGACATTGTTGTTAACAAGGTGTCAAAAACGCCCACTGTATCAAATATGATACAAAAAAATATAATTAATATATAATAAAAATATATCATACCCAACATGATATAGCAAAAAAAGTGGATTTTGTTATAAGGGTTAATAAACATCTCAGTTCCAAAAAATCAGAATTTTCTGGCTAATTTTTGATGGGTTGGGTCTTACAGGGTTAAGTTGAAATAAAAAATGCTTAAATGTAAAATTGTTGCCATGTGTTGCTAATAAAATGACTTTCTACTCCACTGTAGGACCTTCTGAAGGTGAAGGAAAGGTAATTAACAAGAACACTCTGCCTGAACACCGATGGAGAAAGCACAATGGTAAGAAATTTACCGCAAACACCTGAAAGCACTGTTGCAAATGAGATTTTGTAAATCTAATATACGAGCTATTTTGAACCCTTTGTGGTAATTATTTTGTATCAGAAATGCACCAGTGCAAGTACAAAAAAGAGCTTTTGCCACATACTTGGCACCAGTCACCTGGTAAAGGTGAAGACATTAACACAAAAGTGTGCCTGGACAACACGCACTGTTTCCCAACTGTGTAGTTCACTGTGGGGTCCATTTGTGCCTGTGTGAGAATGGTGCTGCTAATGTGCAGCACTCTCAGCTAAACAGACTGAGACTGAAAATTACTTCATTCACACCTGGCCTGGAAACCAGGTGCCCCATGATTCCTCGAAATCCATAGCAGTCTTCTAAGAAGCCACAGTTTAAACTGTCACCTTCTATTATTATGTACTGTGTTTGTTCTGTAGAAATCAATTCAACTCACAAGTCTCAGTTTCCGAGGTTTAATATACCTACTGCTGATATAACAGCACTGAGTAAAATGTATGTTGTTGTTTTTCCTTATTTTTTTCCACCACAAACCCTGAACACATTTTGAGCTTTGGGGTGAGAAATATAGTTACGCATTAACTGACAAACATGACAGCTTTTAATGTGTCACCATTGGTCCAGTGCCAGCAAGAGCATGCAGTTATGGATTGATTGGCAAACATGCCAGATGTTGATGTGTCACAACAAAACCACCGCCTCTGAGGGCATTTGGCAAAATATGAATTGACAAACATAAAAGATTTTAATAGTCACCTCAAGGTACTTTATATTGTAAGGTAAGGAACTTACAATAATACAGAGAGAGGCCCAACAATCAGATGACCCACTATGAGCAAGCACTTTGTGACAATGGGAGTGGTGACAGTGGGAATGCATGCGTGCATAGGCATGTGTCCCTGAAGCAAAGAGTTTGTACTGTCACACTTTATCCTAGCAGTTATCCTGTAAGGGAATAATAATAATATATAACAATAATAAATAATTATTGGGGGGGGGGGGACAACAACATTGCTTTATGGTAGCAGCAGTAGACATGCACTGAGAAGATTTTCAGTTGAGGCAACAACTTTGAAGCAATAATTTCTCCATTTATGTTGCATCAAGTCGTAACTGCAAGAGCAGTGGCAAATAATGCAGAATGACCCTTCTAACTTTTGGTTTTACTTTACATGTTTTTTACCACCACCAAGGATTAGCATTACAGTTTAGTTTTCGGTATAAATTCTATGGTGTGTGGGATGGTTAATGTCACAAAATTATGTGATACAGCGATAGGAACATAGAAACAAATTCAAGATAATAGAAAGCAGCAATAATGTCCTGAAAGATAAAGAAATTGTCTGAGCAGTTGCAAGCTGCTGTGTTTTAGGTGTAGGACATCTATATGTATAATTTGTAAATTAATTTGGTTGTCTTTTTCTTTTTAGGCGTCACATTGGTTCCACTACAAAGAAGAGCTAAAAAGACAACATTCGCCTCTGATAACAGGACTGGTATGAGATGTTTTCACAAAGCAGCAGTTTAATTATTTACTCTAGTCCTGCATTTCTGCCATAATCAGCAACATAGATCCCATCACTCCTCTCTTGGCCCTCCTAAAAAGGGAGAATCCTCCTGAAGATAGATATGCAACATCAGATAGGGGTATTTACAGCTGACTATTTAACTGTGTGAATGTTATGATTGAGAGCCTGTGGTGGGAGCTGTTCTCTGCAATGTGTTCCTGGCAGCAGACAAACCAAACAGCAGAGGGAATGTTGAACTGCAGCCAGTGTTCTCACAGTGCAGGCCGGAGCTGGTTCAAAGCAGCACAGCTGCATTAAGCTGTTTCACACTCTGTGTAACACTGTGAGAGATTAAGGCGGATGCTTTTGTGTCTTGCCAGTGACGCTGTAGTGAAACTAGAGGGATTGCAGTGTTTTGTCAGTTTGCAAGTTTGCATCATCTCAAAGGTTGTGTAGCCCAAGAATTGCAGTAGTGTTGCAAAGCAAGGGGCACTGTTTCATAGTGCATTCTCTCTGTGCTGTCACACTGAGATTTACTGTTGTTTTTTTCCATCTCAGCTCCAGCGCTTACTCTGAGTCCATTCTTCCTTAGATTTTTCCACTGTCATCCATTTTTCAGCATGTTAAACTATAATACTGCCCCTCCTGCTCTGTCTTCATCTTTTTTTTACTACAGCTTAGTACTACTATAAAATCAGTCCTAGGCAAAAAGAGAAATTATCTTGCATATTAAATCTGGGGCAATTGAATATATAATGATAAAACAGGAGTTGTAAAGCTTTGTCTTTTCCAGTAGAGGTGCAGAGATGATTTGCAGTACTGATTGTTTTCTCACCTTTTGTTGGAGGAGGGGAAAAGCATCTCCACTTTTAACAATAACTTTAAATGTAATTTAAACACACTGTCAGCAAATTTACTGAAATTCAGCTACACAAATATATGAAACTAGAAGCAACGCTGGTGACACACAACAGAAATCCACTGACCTCTGTTATCATTTAATGTCATTGTATTTGCTGATGGCTGTATACAAACTGAATATCAGTGATGTTTAGATTTAACTAATAAATCAGTGCATCCCTGGTAAACATGCTTTCACGTGCTGTGTTTCAGATATTGAGATGGGAGGGAGGAGTGGTCACCATAACAATCTGCAGAAGATTGGCTTGGATCACAGTTCCACTGTAAGTTTTCTATCAGATATGTTTTTGGATGTCGAGAAAAAGCTTTATTGTCATAATCAGTATTGCATCGTAGTTATAACAATAATTGAAGATAAAGGGCAGATACACACAGTAGAGTTTCAGTTTACCAAAGCGCCTTTTATCCCTGACAGTGCTTTCTGTTATTGGTGCTTGCATTATTTTGCAATAGGGACAGCCCATCAGAAAGCGAAGATAATCCCGTTAAGAATTAACAAATTACCATTGCTCATCGAGATGTGTTGAAATCATTTTAAATGTGAATAACATGCTTTGCAAAATGCAGATATTAATGGGCTGAAACCAGTGTGGTCTGTGGATGCTGGTTACAGGCAACTTGGCTGGATTGTTTTCAGTATGAATAAATGGAAAAAAGAAGAAAAAAAACGGGTGTTTTGAAAACATTTTTCCTCTTTCTTTATTTTATATATGATTAACCATGGCTTCAGTGACCTGGCCAATTTACTAAGTTACTAAGCACTGAGAGGTGTGGCAAACTGATGAAAGTGTGCATGTGCATACATGTGCACATGTATGCACATGTCTCTGGCTGTCTTTGTTTACTTTTCTTACTTTTTTGGCTTCAATACTCTTAGAAAAGGAAGAGAAAGGACTTCAGCTGTGAGGAGGTGGGTTACCTGCTGTCTGGAGTAAAGACGTATGGCTTCTCTTGGAACTTAATCTTGTGGTCATATCCCTTCCAGCCTGGGCGCACCAATGTTGACTTGGCCAAGAAGTACAGGCGACTAATGGTAAAATCCTTAAATTAAGTGTTTTACAAGTTACAGTGGCCTTAGAAGTTTTGAGCACAGTGGTACTAATTTCCAAACTCTAAAGGGATGACATGATTTACAAAATGCACAAAGTTAATTTTATACTTTTTAAAAATTATTTTGAGTAAATTACTTTCCCCCCCATTCATTAAAAAATTCCCAAAACAAATTTCATCACCTGGTGTTCAGGAAGACCTAATTTGGCCAATTTCATAAATGTGTTTTTTACTCACCCGAAGTTTTTTCCCTTAAAAGCCTCTCCTTCAGACAAAACCTCTCATGAATCTGCATATACATCTCTTCTGATGATGTTTATTTGCAGAATTCTCTCAATGAATAACCTCTTCAGGAGACAGGCGAGGTTTTCTTATGACTCTTTCATGAGGTCATATTTGTGCAGATGTTGCTGCAGTGCACCACCACTCCTGAGTCTACTAAATCTGACTAGAAATGTAATCCTACTGCCATAGGATTAAAAGTTTTTGTTTTATTGGTCTTGTTGTTTTTCACCATTAAGTTGATCTTTCAAACCTTTTGAATTATGTAAGTGTCAGTTTTTGACTAGGGGTGCTTAAACTTTTGAATGCCACCAGAAACGCTAAACTACACAGACTTTAATTAGCTTCATTTGTCTTTTTGCCTTCAGAAACGTAAGGCCCAGGATGCCAGCCGTGCAGATTCTTAATCCTTGTTCAACCTAGGATTTGTTGATCAGCTGACTGGATTTACCTGTGAGGCCTTCATTCTCACTTCAAAAAACATTTCAATAATTTTTTTTATGATCTCCAGCAGTATATATTCCTTATATTATACCTGGTGTACTAATTTTAGTGATTTGTGGTTTCAATGCAATATTGTCTCAAACCTGTTTGAGTTATGGTTTGAAAATGAAAATATAGCTGTAGATGTTATTTATTTGTGATTATTTGTTCATGGTTTATGTTCATTTCTTTGAGAATGAATTGTGCCCGAATTAAATTGATATTAAAAGGTAGATTTAAGCGATGCAAAAGCACCTATTGAATAATTACTATATCGTACCGCATAACCGTCTATCAGACTAACTGGCCTTTGAACAGTGTGTTCAGATAGTCAGTATAAGTATAGTTTTCCACATATTTATTTTTCTGTATCATAGCTGTTTTTAGTCCAGGTCAGATTTACTGTATGGCAGTTTGGATATAATCTGGTCATTAAAATGACTCTTGTTATTTCATATGCATACTAAAGAAAGTGGTGTCTGTTTCAAGAGTTATTAACCAGAGTTGTTTTCCATAAAGTTTTCAGGTAAAACAAGACTATTTAGATTATGTCTGATTGCTTCTTTTGCTTAGACCCTGTTAAGGCCTTGACATAGAGCATCACAGAAGTAAATGCCAAGTCCTGCTTTCTTTGTTTTTGTGCTTCAGTTCACAGACAGGAAATCAACAAAGGGAGAGGAGACTCAGGTCAAGCACTTTTGTTTATTGAGCTGAAAGCCTCTGGTATGACAGGAATCACAGTGCAAATCAAACTGCTTATCTTTCCCAGTGTGCCTCAAGAAGCAGCTCAGTCTGCAAAATGTGTCCTTTAAAGCTTAGCTTGACTGAGATCATTGTCTAGAGTGCCTCTCCCATTCTGTGGGGACTCATCAGTGTGTTGCTAAAATCATGGGTCTTCCCCATTTTCCATGCCCTGGGGTGTGGGCTGTAATAGTTTGAGACCTCATATAATAATGGAAGGGTGAAAGGGAATTTTTTACTGGTGATAGTTATACCCTGGCATTAAGCTTTTCCCGTCATTGATTTGTATTTCTGTTGAATTGGCAAAGTAAATGTGCAAATTATTGCTTATTTACATTTGCAAGTACACCCTCTTTCAATTCTAAGCTTTTGCATATCAGGATATTTTTAAAAAATCATCCAGTCCTTACCATGTTCTAAAATTTCTAAAAAATACAACAACCTACAACGAAAAACAACACAACATATTACACTATATTTATTTAACAAAAAGCTAAACTGCAGAAGTGGTATGTGAAAAACTAACTGCACCCATGTAGCTTGTAAAACCACCTTTAATAACAATAACGTGAAGTAATCATTTTCTGTATGACTATCAGTCTTTCACATTATTGTCGAGGATATAAAAGACTGATACATGGCCTTACATGTGACTCTAGACTGATGTACAGAGGAGTTCACTGTCGACTTAATGGCTGCAAGGTGTCCGGATCCTGTAGCTGCAAACTGAGCCCAAATATTTACCCCTCCACCACTGTGCACGTGGAGATATCCACAGCTGGGAAGATTGGAAACAGTCTTAAATGTTTTCCACTCCTGAAAAAATGGGCAATGCTCCAAACCAGCACTATGCCAAAATCTCTGCTTTTATAGAGGTGCAAACATTTGCTAATTAATCAATTAATCAAATGTATTTGGTTAGCAGCACCTGTCGGCTGCTTTTCACACACTGCTTCTACATTGTGGTTTAAGCTTGTTATGATGTAATATCTGAGGTTGTGGTTACCCAGTTATAGGTTATGTTTTATGACCTGATAAATTAAACCACAGAATTGCAAAAGCGTGTGCTTTCTTTCCACATGACTGTAGATTAAAGTTTTAAGGCATTTAGGAGTGGCCTTTCATACCAGTGTCCTGACTACTCAGACAAGATTTTGGGATAGCAATGTGGTGAAAGCAAGGGGAGGCATGTGAGGAACAGATTTCTCATGGACTGAAATGCAGTCACACTGAAGACTTTTGACCCAGGCCCCATGAAAATCTCCTTCCTCTGGAAAGAATGTGGCCTAGTCTCCCCCCTTTCTCCTCCCTCCTCTGATGTCCTCTCTCCCACGAGACAGTGAGACGCTCCAGTCCCTCTTAAATGAACTGGGATTTGCTACATAGATTTCTATTGCCATTTGCAGAGTGCCCCGTACATGTAGTAGTTTGTCAAACATGCCCAGAGTATCTCCTGTTTTTCTTCCCCCACAAAAATCCATTCCCAGAATCTTCAGTGTGACCAGATACTATAAAATATACCTTTGAAAAACAGGGAGCAAGATTTTGATGTGTAAATGCCAGTTTATTGTCAAAGGCAACTACTTGACACTGAAAATTCATTTATTTTATTTAAAATTACATAAGATGACAATCATTCTGATTAGTGGATTATTGAAAATGCCAAGTATTACTATGTTAATTCATAAATGTGTAGTAGATACTCGTAACCAGTTGTGGAATGCACATGCCGTTTCCAGCTGAAGTTGCATTCTTTGTCCTTTACATTTATTTCATTAACCTTCTTTTCATTTTTCTTTTTGTTGCTATTTTTTTAAACAAAAAAGAAAACTGCTCAAATATATACAAGACACATTTAATTTCTGCCTGGATCTTCACAGATGAAGATCTCTGTCTAATAATGAAGTATTCTAGGTCACTCTTCTTTCCATCACAACACACACATGTACACACACACACTGCTTTTTGGCACCTTTGGTTCATTTAACATTAAAAAAAGGCTCTATTGGCATTAATGTGGGCACTTGGGTGAGACAAACCACTGTTTTTAGATCCATACACAATTTAGATTTAGAGGGTTTCACTTCCTTCATGAATCCTCTGATGGATTCACATCAGCTCAGTAGATGTGCTCATGTCTGTGATGGGAGTGTCATCAGGGACATTGACATCTCTTGGAATGAGGTCACTGCCAAGGTCATTTCCTCTCAGCTCCGAGTTCTTTGGGGTTTCACTAATGCTTTCCTCGTTGACATCACTTCCAAGCTTCTCCAAACTCTCTTCAGCCTCCACCTCCATCGGCTTTTCCAGATGCGCTTCTGCTGGCTTCTCTGGCTCAAGCATGGAAATGTCAGCAGCCTCATCCCCATCTTGGCATTCCTCACCAGCTGGGAGGTCTGATGGCTCATCTGGATTGACTGGGACAGGGATGGGATCTTGGGAGGGCGCGAAATCAGGGGAACCAGAGTTGGTCAAAGGGGGCGAAGAAAGAACCGGTTCATGGAGAGAATCTTGTGTTAGTTGATCCGGCTGCTGCTCCAGATGCTCCACTGAGGCTGGTGCTGGCTCTGAGATGGGCTGGACTATCTCAATGTCTGGTTCGGAGTCAGGAGCAAGCTCAGCTTCAGCAGCTGGTTCTGAAGGTGAAGGTGTGCTGGCTGAGACCTGAGGTTCAGGTTGGACTGGGGCTTCCTTTACCACAGGTGCTGGTTCTGTATCATTTTTCGGGGCTGAGGCACTGGAAGCCTCTGCTTCTTTAAAATCCGCGACACATTCTTCATTGGGTAAACACGCCACTGGTGTCACTGGCTCTCCCACCACCACATCTAGATCCTCCGTTTTGGCGGCTTCGTGAGTCTGTGTAACTGCAGAGTCGTTTCCTGGCTCCTTTGTGGTCTTCTCTTCAACAGCCACAGTTTCATGGGTGCTGGCTGGGGTTTCTCGCCTTCTGCTGAGCCTGTTTCCCATAATGAGCCTGTACAGAAAGTCAAAATGATAATAATAATAATGCCAAGAGAGATGCTTATTTGACTGGTGGAGATGAAATTTGAGTGTTTTAGTACATTATGTTCTTCTTCTTTGCACTGTGTGCTCTATTTTTTCTGAGATGTCTAAATATATTTCTGGAGAGCCCAAGGACCAACTAAAGCTGTTGACTAAAGCACTTGTTTGATTAATCCTTTACTTCCTGTACCCTGATATACACATGCCGACCACAAAAAAACAAACAAACAAAAAAACACTTTGGACACATCATGACCTGTGCAGTCACAACTTTTGACCACTTCATAGACTTTCAGTCAACATCCCCTTACTTAAAAAGGTCAATTAAAGTCTTCAGATTCATTGTTGTTTTGTCTTTCTTAGATTCTATAAAATAATATGTTCCAGTCGCTTATAAAAACGAAGCATAACTCACATAACTAGTATTATGCGCTACTAAAAAAAATGTAAGCAACATAAGTTAGGCAGTAAACATTAATATTTGGTGATCGCGAAAGGAAAAACAAGTTTTGCAGACGACCCCGCCTCCCTGTCGCGGTGCTCAGACTGTTAAATTGTATCCAAATAGTAGAGAAGGAGCAAAAACACTGTGGTTAAAATGTCTAGGAGGATAATAGTATTTCACCAACCTTTGTACTTTTGGCGTTGCAGCAGGCCTATATATATATAAAGTTGCTGATGATCCCTCTCGTGGAGGAGACTGCTTGTTAAACCGCTCGAAGTGCGCACAGCAGAGAGGAGCTGAGCCCTGCACAGACTGCTGAGGCGCACATTCTCCGCGTCCACGGCGCGCGCTCCAGCGCGAAACCACTTGACTTCCTGAACCAGATTGGCTTCGTTGCCTTTTCTCGGTTACTAAACGTAAGTAAACAACAACAAAAACGATAATAATAATAATAATTAAAGGATCTGCCTTACTCAGTCAAACTAGATATTATGCCATTAAACTAAACCACTAAATTGCGTGTTATTAAAGCCCTGGACAGTTGTAGATTTGCTTATAGAAAGCTTATGCATTAGTTGTTCAGTATAGCCATGATGACAGGAACGTGAATACAGTTATATGACATAAGGCCTTCATATTGGGGAAGTAAACGTGCTGATCGGCTGACTGAGGCTGAACCCAAAACCACTGACACATTTACTGTAACATCAGTGTGTTCTTAAGCTGCAAGACAGTCAAACGTCTTTAGGATCTTTGGTACTTTGAGCTTCTCTTTTCTGCTCTAATATACGTCATTCTCATGCTTAGTTTGCAGAATGTTTGTTTTGATTGATTGCATGACTCTTTATTTAATCTACAGAGTAGTGAGGATGTGGCCTGAGCAGAGAGCCCAATGTGCTGTGAGGAGTCCCGCGTGTCACGTTCGTGGGATCTTTCTGCTTCTCCTGCTTGTCATGGTTCAGATGATAATCTCCTTGGTGCCTTTTGATGGTGTGTTCATTCGCTCTGATAAAGTCCTCATCAGCCCCTACAGATTCTGTCAGATCCAACAAACTGGTGAATGGTCCTGTGATAATGTGTATAAGAGTCACCTGTACGAGCGATCGCAATCCCAAGGAGCTGAAGCTGAGACTTTATCTAAGCCACATTTTAACTCTGTCAGAGTAGCGGTTTACCTAGCTGTGTATGTTCCAATGATTATCGTGGTGTTTGCCCTGATGGGCATGCATTCAGTCATCTCTGACAAAGACGAACCTGCTATCTTTTGCAGCACGACTTTCCAGGTCGGAGCAGCCTTGCTCACCCTGGCTGGCCTTTTTAGTTTTTTGTTTGTCTATCAGTCATATGTGAGCTGGCAAAACATAACCGTTTGGTTCTATATCTATTTGGGTGTGGTGATAGAGCTGGCTATCACATCTGCACTGACCCATGTGTTAGGTAAGCGACTGAGATCATACTGGGAATGCAGCGAAATGCTTAAGCTCATCCCTGCTTAAATGCAAACATGAGCCACTTTGCAGTTTAAATAAAGCGATTAATGTTGTGATCATATCACAAAGACCTTTGAGTGGTCAGTAAAACTAGAAAAGTACTATATTAATGCAATTACACATAAATCTACTTAGGAGAATATGTTGATTGTTGGTGCTGCAATATCACTTTGTATCTCTTTACCAAGTGGTTTATGAAAGCCAACACACATAATGTATAACACAACAAAAAATATGGTCTGAGTCTGAAATGCACAGCTGGTGGATGCATGAGTGATACCCTAATTGTGCTGACAGTTATTTCTATATAAGCTGTAAGGAATAAAGAATATATGTATTTTTTCAAAGTGTGTTCTTATATCTGCTACCTCATATATTCAAGGAGCAACAGTAATGTGATTTCTGTAACTACAATTTCTAGCTAATTCACATGAATAGCAGTATGCTTTATGTTTTGGCAGTTTAATGCAAAAGCAAGGCTTTTTTCAAGTTCCCCCCCACAGAACAAGGCCACTTGTACTGCAGCAGTACCATGCTCAGGGTACTTGCAGGAACTTGTTAGGTCTTCTGGTGGAAACATTTCTAACACCAAACCTTTGTGGTGAAAAACCCACAGATGCTGTCAGTTTCATATACAGTGTCATGCATGTGAAAACAAAAAACGTTTTTTTTTTTTCTTCCCCCCATTAAAACCTTCAGTAAACCTAAAAAAAAATGCCATGTTGTCAATTTTAGTGTTTGGACCCAAGTGAGAAAAAGAACAAACACAACACTTAAGTAACTGTCACACTGTAAGATACTAAAATAAGTAGTTCCTCTCATGCGAGGTGCTAGATGCTGCCACTGAAACATAGACTGAAGTGCTGAAATTTGATTTCAGTGCAGAAGCTTTGGTGAATTAATTACTTGTCTCCTTCTCTGGATGTAGTCCTGTGAAGCGCTGCTGGGATGTACCTCTCTGAGACACCAATTAATGGATCCATTCTCCAAACTGTTTCTTTGTGGATGAGAGCTGCCAGCTATGTGTCCTCAAGTACTGACTGGACTCTCACCTGAATTCGTAATTTAGGAAGCATTCCCCCAACTGACACTTTTCAACTTAATGCAACAACTTTTTAGTGTCATTTAGATAAGTTAATCAGCTGAAAAAAATTTCCCGTACAAGGCGTAAGGCGTCACTGTCCTCTGCTGCTGTCTGGGGTGGTTCATGCGCTTTCCCAGCCTCCAAATCCTCAACTGTTCCTGAATGCCGACGCTCAGATGTTTGATGCTGCGGGCTGCTGGTGTACGGTAATGTTTCTACCGCTGTGATGTCCAAGTCTGATTCTGAAACATACGTCATGTCCAGATCTTCAGTGCAGTCTGATGGGGACTCGTCTGCAGCAACTGGATTCACTGTCAGCTGTGAATTTGTGGATTTCCCCATCTTCTTAACTGTGTCCACTGCTTTTTGTTTACCCTGGGTGTGGGAGAAGGGGAGATCAAGCAAATATTCCACGACAGTTAAGAGAGTAATCCACATGTGATGATTAAGAGTTTAACTGCACACAGTAATATTGGATAGAATGGACTTTCACATCATTATATTGCACGTATAGGGCACGTAGGGGAA